TGGAGAAGATGGATAGATTATATCCAGAGAAAATATGAAATGAACAATTATCATATAGCCTTTGATTAATTATTGTTATTTATAAATATTTTTATATATAATTTATATATATAGTTTATAGTTAAGTTGATTATTGTATATTAGAGTTACAGTAAGTTTATACTTGTTTATATTATGAATGGGTTGTTTGGGTTAGACTAAAACATTTCCACCGGTTCAATTTCACTATAAAACATCTACCGGGGGGAAGAACTTTCTGGCAGACGTGCTATCCAGAATGCCTCAATACAATAGTACCCGGCCCAGTGTAACAAAGCCACTCATGCCCGAAACACAGCTGGCAGCACAAGTAACTACCCAAGCACAAGCCAAACTACAAAACCCGTTAGCCAGCCAAGCAGGGATTGAATTCAGAAAAGCATTAGAAACCGATGAATGGTTCCTGAGTCACAAAAATGCGTGCACCATTATGGATGGACTACCCTGGGTGGGGGAGAAACTATACATACCTAAGAGTCTGAGACTAGCATTCATGCAGCTCTGCCATGATCGAAAATCAGCAGGCCATTTTGGATTTGTGAAAACACTACACTTAGTTAAGAGGCAGTTTTGGTGGCCATCGATCAAAAAAGATATTAAAAGCTATGTAGCCAGCTGCCCAACGTGTGCATCAGCAAAAAGATTACAAGAAAAATCGCCTGGACTGCTACAACAGGTAGCAACCCCCTCAGCACCCTGGAAGGAAATTTCCATGGATTTCATAGTGGAACTACCAGAGAGCAGTGGGAATACAGTCATTTGGGTCGTGACGGACCTATTTTCCAAACAAGTACATTTCATACCCTGCGCAAAAATCTCCACAGCAAAGACACTAGCAAAGCTGTTTGTTCAACACATCTATCGCTTGCATGGGGCACCGCAGCGCATTATATCCAACAGGGGGATACAATTCACATCAGAGTTCTGGAAGGAGTTTTTGTCCCTTTTAGGGACCACCCAGGGGCTGTCATCTAGCCATCATCCGCAAACGAATGGTGGGACTGAACGTTCGAACTCAGTACTTGAACAATATCTTAGATGCTTTATTAATTACCAACAGACAAACTGGACAGACCTACTTCCGTTTGCTGAAGTCGCCTACAATGCCATTCATTCCAGCACGGGCTACACCCCATTCCAAGTAGCCACAGGACAAAGTTTCAACCTGATGCCAGAACTGTCACCTACCGAACCTGCCATCCCCTCATTAAAAGAGTGGATCGCACAATTGCAGAATACCTGGCCAGTAGTTAGGAAGGCACTAGACAAAGCCAGACAAGCATACAAAACTCAGGCATACAAAAAGAGAGTCAAGCCAAAACCTTTCGCTGTAGGGGAAATGGTTTACCTATCCACTAAATACCTAAAGTCCCTGCAGCCATCAAAGAAACTAGGACCCAAATATGTAGGACCGTTCCCCATTATTAGAATCATAAATCCTGTAATGGTGGAATTAAAACTACCAAAATCCCTCAGGCAAATCCACCCGATTTTTCACTGCAGCCTCCTAAAATGCGAGCAACAGTCACCCTTAAGACCAGCTGTCGCTCCGCCCCCTCCTCCCATTATGGTTGAAGGAGAACAACATTTTGAAATGAAAGACATCCTAGACTCCAGAAAACACCATGGTTCCACCCAATACTTGGTAGCTTGGAAACATCTACCGTCCTCCCAAAACGAATGGATCCATAAATGTCACATTAACGCTAAGCTGCTTAAAAAATTCCACACCGAATATCCAAACAAACCTGACTAACCTATATACATTTGTCTCTATCTCTCCATAGGTGGATCTCTCTTTTTTTAAAGGGAGGCAGGATGTCAGAACCCATATTTAAAGGACCCCTTTTTCCTTTCTAAACCCAAACCTCATTCTCTTCTCTTCCTGGGTTCTGCCATACTCCTGGAGGGGAGGGGGGAGTGCTTGCGGGTTATTGCCTTGCTTTCCTCCATTGCTACAATGTAACACTTTGCTGTTTCTGCATACTTCTCTGTGAACTTTCTCTCCCCTTGTTGTCAGCTAGTAAAAGGGGGGAGGAGAATGGAATGTACTTCCGGCAACTGGTTTATCTCTGCGTTTGTAAGGGAAGGTGCGAAAAGCCGACCAAACATCGCGGCAGCCCGGAGACGGCCTGATGTTATCTCCTTTTTTCCCACAATGAACTTAACACCTTGGGATTGGCCTGTTTGAACTGACCGGATGAACTATGGGGTGGAGTTTTGCTGGGGATACTTTTTACCTATTGATCTGGTGGGAAACCCTCAGATCCTGTCTATTATGCCTGCTATCAACTTCTCCTAATAAAAGCTCCTTTTGGAAGAAACTGCTTCCACAAGTTCTACTTTCTTAGGATGAGGGTTTGAGGTGGGCCCTGACACCCACAACCTCCTTGCGGTAACCACCCTCATTGTCATGAATAAGGCCCACTACTGTTGTATCATCTGCGAACTTCACAATATGGTTAGTGGCATACCTAGCACTACAGTCATGGGTCAACAGGGTGAACAGCAGCGGACGTAGGACACAGCCCTGAGGAGAACCTGTGCTCAAGAAAATGGTGTTAGAAATATTTGTTCCAGCTCGCACATATTGGGGCCTGTTAGTAAGAAAATCAAGAATCCAGTTGCACAAAGGAGTGTTTAAGCCTAAAAGGCCCAGTCACAAACGTCTGACCTCTGTGATTGCCAACAAGGGTTTTGCCACCAAGTACTAAGTCACGTTTTGCGAAGGGATCAAATGCTTATTTCACTCATTAAAATTAAAATCAATTTATAACTTCTTTGAAATGCGTTTTTCTGGATTTTTTGTTGTTATTCTGTCTCTCACTGTTAAAATAAACCTACCATTCAAATTATAGACTGTTCATTTCTTTGTCAGTGGGCAAATGTACAAAATCAGGGGATCAAATAATTTTTCCCTCACTGTACAACCATAATCTTGTATTCCCTTTGTAGAAGAATATAAAAACCCACATAACATTTGTTAAAATCAAAATTCCCATAATTTTCCAACATCCTAACCATCTCAAGAAGCATGCTGGCTGAATGATTAATAATCTTGAATTATGTTCCTAGGTAATATAAATTGGAGCATTTTACAAGACAAATCTCTCATTCAGGAAATGTATGGAACATACGATTTTTTTCTGGAATTCAAGCATCTGGGTAGAAATAAAATATTCTCACACCAACATCTAGTTTTCCTTGCCACGGGAAGCTGCAAGGGTTACTGGCTTTTGCGGGTTTTAACCCCCACAGTAAGAATAAAGAGAAGCCTGTCATGATTACTTGGCTACAACCTGCACGATTAGAAGCAATTTCGGTTCGATTATAAGCTGACTGGGACACAAGTGAAAGTCCAGTAACACCTATAAGCTTCCCAACGGCAGAGCACTTAATACCAACAGAGCCAAGCGTGTAGGGTTCAACGTATCTGTGGTTTCGCGCTGTACAAAAACTATTAATACTTTTATCACGTTCGACTGGCAAAAAGAGTTAACGCGATTGCGCCCCCCCCCCGATCTTCTGTAGCACTCTGCACATGCCTAAAGGCACGGCCCATGTCGGGTTTATTCGAATCTACCCCCTCCTCTTATACCTTGAACTTAACTTCCGGGTCCACCTTGAGCAGGGAGGCCATGGCAGGGCGGGGAAACCGGTAAACCTAGCCAGATCCGTTTCCTTCTATGCCGCGCACACGACCACCTGAGAAAACCACCGGCTTACTGCCGCCGGAAGTGACAACATAACGCCCCGCCACCGACCTCTCTTGGCCAATCACCGAACGCGATTACACCCAACGTGATTTATCCTTGTGCCTTTGTCGGACGGACCTTATCCAGTGCTTTGCACATGCGCTGAATAAACAACTTCCGGTTGGTGTTGGGAGGAGCTTGGTACGAATGAGTGGAGGCGTGAAGCCAATCAGCATAGAAATAGAAAGTTGAGGGTGATTCGCGTCCGAAATTACCTTTTCCCATCAACATCTGATTGGCGTTAGAGGTTATTCTTCCGCTGTCTAAAATAAAAGTTTTACTTCCTTCTCTACCTGGGAGTTTCTTAGTATGTTCTGCTCCCAAAAGATAGCCTACCTTACATGGTTTTCTTTTTGATGACTGTACTGCCTTTAAACTGAAGTGTTCTTGGGTTACTAGATATGGGCTGTCAACCAGATGTTTGCAGCCCCAACATTATCTTGAACGGCGTACCAGATCTTGGGCTTCTTTTCTACTGGGGACATGAGGGTGGTGGGTTGCGTTTACGGGAAAATGTTATATTTGCGGGTTTCACGCGTACAAGAAAGACATGGACTCTGTAGATAGCTCTCCCAGTCCAGCTGCGCCGTGGCGGCCTAAGCCACTTCTCCGGGAGGGGCAAGTGCCAAGATGGCCACCACAAAATTGTACATTGGCTCCCGGCTGGCCTGGGCCAGGGCCAAGGCAGCGGGGGCCGTTCCCTCACTGTTTCCAGGATGGCTTCGCGGGCCACATGAAACCACTTCGCGGGCTGCATCCGGCCCCTGGGCCTTGTGTTTGACATGTCTGATGTAAGCAATCTCCTGAGCAGTCTCCTGTATATTTGACATGGGACATTTGCTTTTTCAATATACATGAAACACTTTCTTCTATCTATAAGGCTGCTTGCATATAACAAAATTTATATAAAATAGCTACAAACTAACACTACTAATATCAAGCTTAAGCATAATAAAATCATATGCACAATAAGGTCCCTTCACAATATTAAGGCAGGATAGAATATTTCGCCTGAAGGAGAAATGGAGATAACATGTTAGGCAGAAAAAGCCCCCAGTCTCCCTTTCCTCAGGCAGAAACCTGAGGAGGCCACTGTTTAGAAATGCAGATTTGATAATCAATTCAGAAAGACTGAGGCACAGTATTCAAAAGCAAAAGCCTTCAGCCCCTACAACTGATAGGATTAAGACTTTACATTCCCCCACCCAGCTCCAAGGACAGGACAGGACCTTTAGGACAGGGCTTTTCAACCTTTTCAGAGATTGTACCACTTTTAGGATATGGCAATGAAGGGATTTTATTATGCTTAAGGTTGATATTAGCAGTGCTTTTTTTGTAAAAAAAAAAAAAAGGTGCTGGAACTCACACACGTTATATAACCCGCCTTGCCTACCTTACAAGGTTCCATCCAAAAAAGGTGCCGGAACTCTGTTCTGGGCATTCTATGACAAAAAAAACCCCTGGATATTAGTAATATTGATATTAGTAGTGATACTTTGTAATATATATATGATGAAAGCTTATAAATATAAATGAGCACCAGGAAAACAAAACCCTTTAAAATTTTAAAAAGGTTTTAATAAATAAATAATGACCCAAGCTTTCGCCGGCTTTTCTGCCGGCATCTTCAGGGATCCGTGTCAGTCAATGGGAGGGCACTCCTTATATTACAGCCGCCTTTGCACCCGGTCCATAGGTGCTGTCGCGATGTGGAACAGCACCTATGGACCGGGTGCAAAGGCGGCTGTAATATAAGGAGTGCCCTCCCATTGACTGACACGGATCCCTGAAGATGCCGGCA